TTTTTAAACCTTGCTTTTCTGTAGATAAATATTCCAAACGACCAATTCCAGCCGCCACCACACCGCGTGGCATTGGTCAATTAGACTTAATGAATGGAGCGGGCGCCCGGCGAGGCTGCACCGCATATAGGCGTGTGTCTTACACTCGTGATATCATGTGGTTACTCTCACATCGGTGGGTCAATGATATGCTGTATGAGAAAAGCTCTCGAGTGGCGACCGAGCGAGCCGGAAAACGTAGCGTGGGCAGGCCCCCTATTAGGTGGACCGACGATCTGGTAAAGGACCGGTCGCTGTGGAAAATTCTTGGGGGAGGCCTTTGTCTAGCAGTGGACGTCCTATGGCTGAAATGATGAAGATGATGATGGACGTCATTTGGCTGAAACGAACGAACTATGTACAGCACATAAAAGTTTACATTCTTGTTGGGAAATAGCACCTATTAAAACGACATAAAGACCTCAGAAAGCTTTATGTGTTGACGTCTGTACGACACAAATGCAGTGGTAGTTGCAACGACTTCGCTGTCTAGGGGTGACAGCTAGACTAGACTGGAGCAAGGTTTCTATAAGGGACAATCGGGAATACTTAGGGACAGGTTAGATGATAAAGTACCGGTACCTCATACGGTTTTGCTAAATTGTATTGATTTGTAACAGCCTATAGTGGTTGACTTTTTTGGTTAAACCACAGATAATATAGTAGGTTAAACGTTTCAATCAAGACATACGAGATATCAAGACATCTGTAGCGGATCATATTTGTATACGTTTATCTGTCATCTAGAAGTCATCAGGCTTGTTTTGTTTGTTGTGGGAGCTACTCTATAGGTCAGCGGTTCCCGAAAGGTGGTCCGCGGAACCCTGGGGTTCCGTGGAAAGGCCGCAAGGGTTCCGTAAAAAATATTATCCCACGTTTTGTGACCAAAGTTGTTCGCTCGCACCGACTTGTTTACGCACAAGGGAGGGGCAGGGCGTGCGGGCGGAGTAGTACGGGGGTTCCGCTAGGAAAAGTATAATCAATAAGGGTTCCTTGGCAAAAAAAAATTGGGAAATCCTGCTATAGGTCAAGCGCTTAACCTTAATTCTGTCAGTGTTTGAGGTCTGGGAGCGGCATGGGAGGGTGTTTTTGTTACGTCAAAGGTAAGCGAGACTTCTTCAGAATTATATGCTTTATACAGGGTGGAATTTTGTAATGCCACCTGGAGGGAAAGTACTCTTTAAAAAAAATTCTCAAAGAAAACGTTCATTTATTTTTGAAAAGAAATAGAACTGCATACAAAGATTTCCAACAATTTGCTTGCCACTCCCGGGAATCTAACCAACTAAAATCTGTTAAAAATTACACCCTGTATTTTTATAAAGAATAAGAATAAGAACACTTTATTCAGCATAAAAATACAGTACATGACATTAAACTATAAACTATGCTGAAGTGGCGTCCGCTCAGCTATATTCACGACATAGCAAGCGCCATGTCGAGAAGCTAGGTATGACATCGATCGTTAGGGTTAAGTATAAGGATGAAATCTCTCTAACATACTTGATAAATCAAATGAAAGGAAAACCATGAAATCTTAAATTATTTTAATTATGTTACAGAAAATTCGAAGTGTATTTCCTAAAAAATTTCGAAAATCTTTGAAAGCAGTTCTCTTAAATATCTTCTTTCTTTTCAAAAATAAAGGAATGTTTTCTTTCAGTATTTTTTTCTATCTACAGTATTAAGAGTAGGTACTTTCCCTCCAGGTGGCATTTCAAAATTCCACCCTGTATATTATGCTAAATTATATTGAGTATTTGAGTATTGAGTATACCCCAGGCACTGAGTGAGTTAAGCACTGGAACTATAGTGGGCTAATGAGAACTAAGGGAAAGCGGTTGTTAAATTGAGTGACAAGCAAACACAGAGACACCAAGCTGTCTAATGCTACTGTGTCAAGGAGATTCGAATCAGTGCTCTCGTTTCATTTCTATTAATAGCCAGTAGAATGATAAGCAAGCAATATAAAATATTACTTGTATGTATGTTAGATTATGATCAAACAAACATAAGGATTTTGTTTACTATACCAGTTTATTTGCCATTGAAGTTATTTATAAATAATCTAATTTAAAGAAGACATGTAATGAGAGTTTATGTGCCAAGCAAATACATATAATGTAAGTAAATATGTGAATAAATATGGTTTTATCTCAAACATTTTAAACTTCTGATGATGCTTTTCCCTAACGATAAGACCGCCTAAGTCAATGATGGCGAACCAATGGCACGCGCCACAATATTTAGGGCACGCCCGCCAATCACAAAATTAACTATTAAGAATAATAATAAGAATACTTTATTCAGCATAGAAAAATAAAATAAAAATACAGTACATATAACATTAAACTACAAGCTATGCTGAAGAGGCGTCCGCTCAGCTATATTCGCGACATAACGAGCGCCATGTCGAGAAGCTGGTTTTCAGCGGGAACCAACACGATGAAGATTGCGGATTGCGCGCCCTCTTGACCGGGACCATATTAAGGCTACCAGTCAAGAAGACGCGCAACAGTATTAAATAAAATAGTACATAATGTGTTTTGAATAGGGGCTATCGTATTTGCCCTCATCAGTTAGTGCCCCTGTAAAGTAAAGTCGTGTCAATCGCCAGTGGCGCCACTTGTACTAATACTCCTCATTGATAGCATTAGGTGTTATTTGATGGTAAGTCTATGACTACATCAAACATTTTTTTCAGAAAAGTGGCATACATTTTCGCCATCCCTTTTTTATTTTAGGTGGTAAAAATGCATTGAATTGCATACCCGCTAAAGTGTGGTTATAAATAAATAATAAATAAATCTTTGAACAATTTCACACAGCGCCAGCTAGCCCCAAAGTAAGCAACTCAATGCTTGTGTTATGGGTGCTAGCTTAACGGATATACTACTTATATACTTTTTTTTAAATACATAAATATTATACATAGTCACACCCAGACCCGTCACAGAAATTAAAATTCATCATTTCAATTTCTGCCCGGCCGGGAATCGAACCCGGGACCTCTCGGCATAGTAGTCCGTTCTGAACCACTACACCAAACGGCCGACAAAGTGGTTATGTGGGGTTATGGCCGGTTATGTGGGGTTCTCCCCTCCAGAATGGAGGGGCCTACTACCCACTAAAAATCCACCAATCCCCGTCTTAGATTCGCCATCCCTGGCCTAAGCTAACCCTAAGTGGGGGCTACTGTGATTACGCTCACTAGTTGGCGCCACTGGCAAGTCCCTGCCTTGCGACAGTGGCGCCAACCAAGCGCTAATACTGTAGATTATTTGTGCCGATATAAATTTTTCAATTATTATTACGATACTGAAACTTAAATGTAATGCTAGATGAATCAGTAAATGGACAATAGGCATATTTTTAAAGCATTCAAATTAAAATTAGGCGTACCAATTTGCACTATTTGTATATGTATTACGAATCATTTATTAAGTTATTTGAAATTCTAATGCTCAATCAAAGTAAAAACAAGAGCAAACTCATTGTTTACCTATTTATGTATGAATTCATAACGTTTATTATACTTTCTCCAAAATTAAAGTTGTTTCATTAATATTTATAAGAAAAGCAAGTATAATCTTTAATATAACAAGTCAGATAAGCAAAGAACGTAATTAATTAGCTGGCCATTCATAAAAAGAACAAACAGTCTGATTCTAAAGTAAATAGTCTCAGACGAAGAGTTATCAAGCCCCAACTGATAAGGACTAGATACTAGCTTCTGGATTTGTCGAAAGAATGATAGTAGGTATATTGGCCAAGGGCAACATTAATTATTTATTATTGTTTACTTACTATTCTCATTAGATCAAAATATTTTGTAATTGTAATCAACTTTAGTAGGCTGCTTATACTACAATACAAGAGACAGTGATTGTGATTCATTGTAATAATGTAAAGAATTTTCAGACATTATAACTTTTTTTATGCAAAACAAGGCAGGTATTTGACCACAATCGCACCTGATGTTAAGTGGGATGCAGTCTAGGATGGTAAATATCTGCCCTGTAAGTGCCTATTCACTCTCGCCTTGAAAAGATCTAATGAATCTCTTTAGAAAAGATAGAAAATAGGATGCCTTTACATAGGATGCACTACACTGTACATAAACTGTGTATCCCATAACTTCTCTTGATTACTCTAGCTAGACATTAGTGGGGCTTTGGAAAATCATTAGTTTTTAGAATGGACATAGGCACCTAGATGGTGTTGGACACCTGTAGAATTTGACCACTTATTAAAATCCGTTTTGCTCAAGGTCGGCTGGGAGAGAATGCCACCTGGCATTAGGTTAGCCTTTTTGTACGGATCACTCTTATGTGTGTGCAATAGTCTTTAAATAAATAATATTAATTACTGCAATAAAATACATAACAAATCAGATGAATAAATAATCTGAATGCAACTCACATGTTCCACACACAATCACGGCGTTGGCGCAGAGAAACCTACAATTTAGAAGCGCGCGCGCAAGTTGTGTAGTTGAACTCTGCCCATATATGGCGCGAACTAGACCGCAGTAGCCGCGAGCTACATGACCCGAATAAAATGTAGCTTGATGAATGTTTTGAGACGACTTTTAGAGATTGTACTTAATTAATTGTAAAAGGTTTTGTGAAAGTTAATTAGTAGTTAGTCATTATCAGAATTCGTTCATTGATTGTAGTCAGTATAAATAACGTATATTATTAACAATAGAATAATACGACCATCTGTGTAGTAAGTTGTAAACACCGAAATTACACACAAGAGATTCTAGGACCTATAATAGTAGCCGCCTCAGTATTTGTTACTACCAATAAACTTTTTTTCTAGACCGATTCTTCGAATTTGTATCAAACATTGGTAGTTTTCATAAAAATATATTTTATGACCTGTGAGAGTGCTCTTGAAAGCCAACTTTTTAAGATTAAATAAGTTTTACAACCTTAAAAAAACATGCGGCTTACCTGTGTATCTCTCAGATCGGGTTCGCTCGCAGCCGCCGCCAATCCATCATCAGAGGCCGCATTCCCGGAGCACACTTCACTAGCACTAGCACTGAGCGCCCGCCGCCTCGCGTCTCTCGCGTCCCGGGACTTATCCCGGGACTTGTCTCTAGAATCCCGGGACTTGTCTCGCGAATCCCGGGACTTGTCTCTCGAATCCCGGGACTTGTCTCTCGAGTCCCGGGACTTGTCCCGCGAGTCGCAGGAGCGGTCCCGGGAGTCTCGTGAACGGTCGCGGGAATCGCGCGAGCGGTCGCGCCCCGATAGTATGTTCTTGGTTTTTGAGAGCAAGTTGAGTGGCTTCATTGATTTGCGAACCTGCGAACATTACAAGTCATCAAGAATTAGGCAAAACTTACATAATACATTGTAATGATAAAATTAATTAAATGTTTCATCTTTTTCTTTGAGATAGAAAAAAAGAAGTTCTTTTTTTATTTTATGTCATAGCTGTGGTCATAGCAACAAAACCTTGCTACTATGGTTGTCAGAATCATGGCAGTCAACTTTTACTGCATTAAGTAGAGTAAATACTTTAGTATACGAAGACTTTAGTGTAGGAAATACGAAGTAGAGATAATTACAAACCTTGCATTTAATAGAAGACGGATGCACAAAGTTATCGTCGTCTCTGTTACTCGCAGGCGGGTCTCTCAGGCCCAACACCAGCATATCATCGAGCGACGCTTGTAGATGCCTTCGCCTGGGCCTGGCTTCCTCATGGCTTCGAGACGAGTACATAGACACGGAATCTGCTGAGGCCTTGCTCCCAGCTCCTTCGGTCTCAGTGGCCTCGGTACCAGCGGTCTCAGTGACCGATTCAACTGACCGCCACTGGGTCACTCGAGGGCGTTCTTCATAGATTTCCACGGAATTGAAGGTTTCTGCTACGCGATCTTGAATGGAAAAGCGTTGTGGTTAATAAAAGAGAAAAGTTTCGGTCATTCATTTGGAAACTAAGTTAGTTGATAAAGTGGAGAGAATGTGAAGAAAGAAATGTGTTGCTAGTAATCGTAGGTAAATAAATTTCCTAAAAATACAGCCAGATAAGGAACACAGCAGGACTACACATTGAGGCACTTCTGCTGTCATCAACATGATCATCATTTCAGCCACAGGACGTCCACTTCCTACTAGGTGGACCGACGATCTGGTAAAGGTCGCGGGAAGAGCCTGGATGCGGGCAGCGCAGGACCATTCATTGTGGAAAACCTTGGGGGAGGCCTTTGTCCAGCAGTGGACGTCATTTGGCTGAAACGAACGAACGAACGAACGTCCACTTGACTGCTGAACAGAGGCCTCCCCCAATTATTTCCAGTGACCGGTTGGTATCGGCCTGCATCCAGCGCCTTCCTGCTGCTTTTATGAGGTCGAATTCGGCTGTTCAGCTACGAGCAAATTATTTAAAGAATGTTCATTGAAATCTAGGCATATTTAGAGGCAATTAGAGCATTCCCAGTTTATTTACGTTTACAAAATAATGAACTATTAAAAGTTACCTATATCCAGTTGCGCAGGAATGAACTCGTAGTGTCCCTCGCTCTCGCTGCAGACGCGGTCATAGACAGCGCCCGCGCGGCCGTGTGCTCCGTTATAGTTGTAGCCGTCTTCGCGCCGCACCGCCGGCTCCGTCGCATGAAGCAACACGTCATCAAGATTCAAGTGGCGCCCCTGCCCTCCAAAACCGTCCACCACGGGCGTAGCATTAGATAAGAATGAACCATCCGCGTCGAAACCACACCCTACCATCCCGATTGGACGCCGTGGACGAATGAAACCCTCAGCTACAGGACGCTGCGCGAAATCAACGACCAATATCCGATCTGCGATGTTTCTACAGTCGTTGTGGAACCCGATCCCCGAATCGCTATTGCTCGAGGTTGTTGTCACTTCACTGTGGTTGCTCGGCTGCGGTGAATTAGCGACGAAATCCTGCCCGTCCATTCTAGCATCATCTCGTCTACAAGGCCGTCTGTCCCGCGGCACGCGAAAGGCAGCTCTATTGCATCTTGAAAAGTTCCCCACAGAGGGACTGTCCCCCTTCACTGCCAATTTTGAGATCTGTTGCAAGCTCGGACTACCACTCTCGTCAGCCGGTAACGAGTACATCCCTTTTATGACTCCCACCACGTATTCAGCTGACGGTGGGAACTCTAAACATCTCTCCGCGACCGGGTCTCTAGTGCAAGCGATTTGGAACTCTCTGGCTCTTGTAACATGAGCCTCGTGTTCCGCCATTCGCGGGTCTACTGCGAAGACGTGGCAGCTGTGCGACGCTTCTGCTTCAGTTGTTTCTGCTGACGTCACAAGGCCGAAGTATCGCCGATCGGCTTCGGAACCGCAGCCAGCGTATACGATTCGCTCGCGCTGGTATTGTGCTAGGACTTGGCCGGTGGGGCGTCTGAGAAATAGCGCGTTGGGGAGTACGGAGAGTAGGACAGGTGCTGCCGGTCGTCGTTCCTGCCTTAGCTTCCGGACCGCTGTTCGGACATTGCCGGGCGCGGCGTTGGATGCAGCCTGGGGTGTTTCTATGGTGCCTAGGTACCCGACGACGGCGCGGCATTCTAGCCTCGCGACGTGGTTGGGAGTCAGTTGGGCCCGGCTCAAGTTCTGAAGAATTTCGTTGACACCTGATGTGCTGGGTGCGGCATGGCAGCCTGGAATCATTAATAAACATAATTAAAAAATATCTTCAACAATTATCTGTGAATGTGGACACAAAATTAACAAACAACTCTAAACTATATTTAGCATGAAGGTGAACAAATAAATAAATTAAAATTGTTAAAAATAAAGTGCTGGTGAGAGACTAACAGCAGTGATTATACATGCAATGTGACAATAAAAGATAATGGATATAATGAATGAGTGTATTTATACAAGCAAGTGATAAAAAATACCTGTATAAGGTAATTAATTATGTAAATACAAGTTATAATGTTAAGTTGTTATTTTTCACAACCAATCAAATCATCATTTGAATCTATGATTTTCCCAAATATTATTTGAGACAATACATCAATAAAAATAAATGATGGAGCTTTTTTTATGATTAAACTAAATGAAAGTTTCAGTCTGAAACTTTTAATAATGCATAAATAAAGTACTATTGACTTGTACTTAATCCTTTGTTTGATTTACAATGCTCACATGAATGACAAAAGTCGGTTAGGATATTGCAGCCTGTGCTAGGTGGTTAAAGCACAACACAAACATGAACAAATATTGCTTGTACTACTCATCACATACCTAGCTTGAGACTAGCCATCTGGAAAAAGTAAAATTTATGTTATTATGAATAAATACATACATAGTTTCATATAACTCTGTAGCTCGAAGGCTGTTATTGATAAACCAACACCAATGTTATCATATAAAGGCATAAATATTTGTTTATTTGGGGAATGACATAATAAAACCTTTTCAGAGGTTCTTTGAAAGAGAAAATTATAACAATCATTGTTTATTTTTATCTCAATTTCTTATTCATCCAAATCCTCATTGAATTGAGATAACTAAGTTTTTAACTAAATAACTGTATCTTATACATTGTAATTAAGTCAAAACAACTTTTATTCACTATGAAATGAACTGCTACAGAAAAAAGACCATTTGCTACAGCGAAACTCTCTGACCTGGATGATGCATCATCTGTGGTCTGCGGCGCGGCGGAGGATGCCTTCTCCTCGTACGCGCTCTCTCGTCTGGCTCCGTGTCCTCGGTATCCGTCGGTGGAGACTCTCTTGGCGCCACACTTAACGAGATGGCCCCCGGCGCCGCCGCCACCAGCCGCGCCACCGACGCGTGAGGAGCCCGCGCCACATTCGCGCCGTCCACCGTCAACAACGCATCCCCAGCCCGAAGCCCTGCTCTCTCCGCCGGCCCGCCCGCCGCCACCGCCGACACAACGCACGGCCGCTGCCCCGCTATCGTAAACCCGAAACCCCCGGCACCTCTGGCCACCACCAAACGACGCTCAGCTGTCCGAGCCAGGACAGCACGGCGACGTCTTCTCCTTTGCTGTTGCGGAACCATCATTTGTCCTTTTGTCACGATTTATTCACTCGAAATAGTCACAGCGCACATTACCGAGTTGCAATAAGCGATTGCAACCGCAGACAAGCACAGAACTTAGTCAGAAACACTTAAAATATTAGTCAGAAACTAGAAAAACTAGAAATAGGAAAGTTTCGAGGTCTCGGCAACTGATTGACGTTTAGAAAGTTTGAGAACGTTCATAAACTTAACGACAAGCCACCCTGTAATTTGTTAACAAAGTATTTTAATTCTTATAAATTATCTTATAATATTAAAGAAGACAAATTTTAATCAATCATGAAAGTCTGACGATATTTTATTAGAGGCCGGTATATGCAAAGAAGATTTTTTTTAACAGAAGTTTCAGAACGAGCCGCCATTTTATAAACTGCTTCCTGTCACTGTCACGGTGACATTTGTTTGACAAAACGGTAAACTGAAATTTGAAAACTTTTCTCAACGATTTCATGCAACTGATTGTAACGAATTTGTATTTATTTTGATAATTTGCTAAATTTGAAGCTCTGGCAATGGGTGATTCATTATTCGATATCTTTGGCGACCACTTGATGAGGCAAGCTGTGAAAAATGTAGGGCGCCAACCTTTATCCAACAACGGTAAGCAAGATGTTTCTGTTGTTTTTCTATCTCAATCTCTAGGCTCTGTAAGGTTTTGGTTTTGCGACGTTAAATGTCTTTGTTTATCTTTACATTTTACAGAAAATGTGGGTAAAACCGTGTTGAACGCGCCCATAAAACCCAACGAACCCATGAAGAAGGGTGACACAAAGAAGTCTTTTCTCTCCAACACCGGGAAGGCTCTGCAGAGTACTCCAGCGCGGCAAGTGTTCACACCTCGCGCGGTGAACGTCGGCGCGCTGATATACAGCGACCCAGACGCGGACGTCAAGGAGTTTAATATGGAGGAGCTGGAGTTCACCAAACCTTCATACAAATATGGTAAGTTTAGCTTTTATTTTTGTGACTCTATTCAAAAATAAGGTAAAAAGTGGGTATGTTAAAATAAGGAGGGTGTGACCAGTGCCAAACCAGGAACTGACGGTTGAAATGTCTTTTCAACCGACTTCAAAAAAAGGAGGAGGTTCTCAATTCGACCCGTATGTTTTTTTTTTTTTTTTTTTTTTTTTTTTTCTATGTTTGTTACGCGATAACTCCGCCAATTATGAACCGATTTGAACAAATCTTTTTTCAGCGTATAGGTAATACCTCAAGGGTGGTCCCATTTAAATTTAATAATATAAAAACAACCCCCAAGGGTGGAAAATTGGGGATGAACTTTTTTATACGAAATATCTCCGCCGATTATGAACCAATTTGAACGATTATTTTTTTGTTGAATAGGTATTATCAAAAGGGTGGTTTCATGCAAATTTGAAGAAAATATTTCACTCCTAAGGGTGGAAAATTGGGGATGAACTTTTTTGTAATATACATTAAGAATATGGTCTCAATGTACTGCCTACCTTCAGTGGTAACATCAAGGTAATAATTAGTTAACTAAAAAGCTAGAAATAAGTAAAATTTTATAAAAAAAAATAAAACCGACTCCAAAAAACCTACACTAAAAAGTAGAAAAATAATTACTAATTACCTACTTATTTATTAGGACGAATTATTAATATTTATGTAGGTATACCATGATTGATACTTTTGGAGTCGGTGCAGGCAAACTTTACATGTTTCATAATCTTGGCACCGACTCCAGAAGTATCAATCATGGTATACCTACATAAATATTAATAATTCGTCCTAATAAATAAGTAGGTAATTAGTAATTATTTTTCTACTTTTTAGTGTAGGTTTTTTGGAGTCGGTTTTCAACACCAGCCCATAACATGCTGTCCCAAAGTGGTGGTAGAGCAAGCTATATTTGGGACATGTATAAAGTGCCTATGTACTGAATAAATTATTTTATTTCATCTCAATAGTTTACTAGGTTCCTAATTTTGCCCTTGTAAAAAAAAAGAAAACATGGTACACCCACCCTTGTTGTTCTTTTTCACCCTGTAAGGTGTAGAAAAATAACCAGCTGCCATTTAACCTCTTACCTACGGGAGGCACCTATTTTTGCCAAGTCAAAAGTCACTTCTCAATACGGGTGGCAACTATTGTTATTTTGGCAAAGCCAATACTAAATCACGGTTTATGACAAAAAACAATAAAATTGCAAATTAAGTGTAAAATGCGCTTGTTATTATGAAACTACATTAGGTGCAGAATATAATATTCCAAATTTCAATACCGTAAGACTTATACTTTTTAAAAATATCTTGATGTAAATTGGAGCAAACAATTTTATAGGTTAAAATACCCCGTATTGAGAGGCGACTTTGGTTTCCAAGGGCCCGTAGGTAAAGGGTTAATTTTTTCCTAATTTATTTAAAATAGTAAGACACGGGTCTTAACGCGAAGTTTACTATTTTAGTTGAAATGTAACGCAAAAGTTTTAAATCCTAATTTATTTATTACAGACAACTACCACACCGACATTCATGACTACCTCAACCTGCCGACGCCTAAGCTGATGCCCGAGCTGTCTCCCCCCAACACCCCTCCACCAACGCTCGGCAGGCACTCTATGGAGCTGGACAACTCATACCACGACGAGTTCTTTACTGGTAAGTTCTTCAATTTTCATTTTATTCAATTACTAGCTTCTGCCTGCGACTTCGCCCTCAAGGAATGGTTACTTGGGGCTAGTGATGATATTATAATATTCCTTGTTAAATTGGCTGTCTAACACTGAAAGAATTTTTTAAATCGGACCAGTAGTTCCTGAGATTAGGGCGTTCAAGCAAACAAACTCTTCAGCTTTATAGTAATACTCATAGTATATGTAGATTGTATCATGAAAGTTTCCAACAATCATAGTGACAATTTCCTAAGCCTAAAGTACCACTTATATATATAAATTACCAGTGAAAACTCATAGGCTTGTGTAAGACTTATTATTTTTATTCTACATGTATCATAATTTAAGCTGTATGTTTTCCTAATAAAGAAAAAAAAATTATAATATATGGTGGCAATAGTAAACATAATCCACAACTTTATACCAATGCTTTCGAACTTCTTACTAAATTGGCCCATCTTTGCCTCAAGCCTCAAGTTGGAAAACTTCTATTACACTATCATAGGCCTTGAAGCAAGTTACTAACTAAACCTCATTATTTTACAAATCAGAAAGAAATGTTTTGCATTATCTTTATTTTTTGTTGCAGATGATTTCTCAAATGAAAGTATTCAGGATGAAGATCTTGGCCTTCCAGACTTATATTGATAACATTAGTTATAGATTGCATAATAATGTATAGACATACGGCATTTGTAAAGCCTTTGAATTAATAAATAACAACTGACAATAATTGCTTAGTGGTACAATTATTTACCTTAATTTTGAGCATCATTTTATTCAAGTTTTTATTCAAGTTATCCATTTCATGTGAATTAAATAGTGTGCTCAAAATAAAGAATTGTTCTAAAAATATAAAAGTGTATGCTCTACTACAGTACAGTCCAGTATTATGTATTTGTAATTAATATTGATACCGCCTTGTAAAATAGTTTAAGCAGCTAACTTATAATAAATATTTGGAAAATAAGTAAGTAAGGAGTTTTATTGTATAGCTTAATGTAAGAATATTTACAATAATTATTATATGTTTAAATTAATTTAACAACTAAATCCAACAATGATCATGTTAGGTATTTCTTGCCAAGGAATTGGACTTTCTTCTCAAACGCAGGGAGTGTTATGAGAGTGTCTTCTTTGTAGAAGGGGTTCAGCATCAACTTGATGTAGGCCTCATAAACATCAGTAAAGAAATTCTTGATGCCATCTTCGTTGCGAGCGTCGTGGACCATTATGAATCGCATCTGTAAAAGAGGAAAATAAATTTTCGTTACTGATACCCCAAAACAATTTTCTAAATACATCTCTGTGGAAGTCTTGATCTTCATCCATTTTACACAAGTAACTGTTGAGAATATAGAAATGCAGTACAAACCTGACTGGCAGTAACGAATGCAGACACGAACCATTGGTTGAACTTATCCACTGATTTGAGATAGGTGTTGGTAACTTTCCACATATGCTCGTCGACTAGATCTAACGCTGCATGCGCTATGAACTGATTTAAATGCCTGTTGTCCTCTTTCTGAAACCATGATCAACATAAATAGAGCAAACAATTTTAAAGGCAGAATCAAAATGTAGGTGGCTTCAACCAAGTTTATACCTTGGCATCTTTCGTCACGGGAATGAAGTCCATTTCAAATATTGGATTATCTGAATGACCTACTATAACGAAGTAATATGTTCCAGCCATTTTATGATTTTTAAATGCTCTACTATTAATACAAATTTAATTCAAACACGACTGCAATAGAAATTCTCATTTTTTTTGAGATCGCAACATTCGCAACTGTCACTGTCAATCAGTGACATTTTGACAACAATACTTATTTTTTTATTATTACTTTCTGGAAGCAAAGACATCGTCATTTACAAATTGCAAGTACTGTGAAAAGTACAAAAGAACTCGAGGTATTTCTCTCGGCATAAATATTTGTTTTTTCATTGCATGCATGATTTAAATAAATAAAAAAAATTATTGGCGCGAACCACGATCGCGTAAACGCGAGTTGTTTTTTTCACACACTCACTCGTAGTTTACTGGTTTTCCTGCAAACTTTTTAAATTGCAAACAAAGGTTTCTTCAAGAGTTGGCGACTTCTTTACCTATTCAAAATGAGCCGTAAGTATCAAATAAATAAATATGAATAAAGTACCTACTTCAAACAACTATCGTTTAAAAAAAATGGTGAAATGGCCAAATAAATTCTTGTTTGTAGAATCTTGGTGGATACCTATTGACAAATTAACATACTGGAGAGCTGGAACTTGGGTAAGATACGAAGCAAAGTCTTACGATTTAAGTTTACGTATCCATTGCGATCAACTTTTGTTAACAAACAACAACAAGCTGATTGAATCTATAAATATGCATGGGAAAATAAAAGGCATTTATAAAGGAGATGTGTTAATTTTAATTATTCTTAGTACTGGAACTTCTGGAACACAAGAGGTCAGTCCCTACACTTACATTGTATTATTTTCTGCGATAAAAAGAAATATTTTTTAATCTATTCAATATTTATGTGCAGATTCGTAAGGTGAAATTTCAAATAAAACTGCACGCAGCTCAGTGTTTACAGAAACTTGGTGAACATTTTCTAGTGGTGAGCCACCACAACGCTTCCGCAAATTATACGGAACGATATCGAAGTATAGAAAATGTTTTCAAAAATGTTCTGGAGGAATACGGTAACTTTTGCATTATTCTTCTAACATTAAATAAGAGTGCATCAATGAAGAAATTGATAAATGTGAAGCTTTTCAGAGACCGTGTCAAGTCATCCACTTCCGACAAACTATAACAACTTTGTAAAGTTGTGTTTATTGGATCCAGCGTTCCCTAATGTAGTTCAAGAAACTCAGAAAATTATTCAAACTAAATTATTAAAGAAACAATAAAGTTAATTCAATATTTTTTTAGATTGAAATCCAGCAAAATATTTGTCATCGGTCATTGTGGTTTGATCCATACAAATACTTTTAGCAGTATTACAGCCTTGGTCTCTCATAATTTTAAAAGCCTTAATAGTATTTGTATTGATGTCTATTTCTGTTTGAACTTCAGCATCACATGTTTTTTTGCCATGAAATATATATAAGTAAAACGAGTCAGTTGCTGACTTACGACTGTCTTTTATTTTTATTTTTTTAATTACTATATACTATTTTGATATGCATACTTTCCAACACCCCCACTATATCAAAATAGCAAATAATCTAAATATCTATTACACTATACATTTACAATCTCACAGTCTATACAAACACAAAACTAGGAAATAATAATTAAATTTACTTTTATCAAAACAATACCAAGTGCTTGCATAAACTCATTGTAACAACCTATCAATTCACATTACAAATTTTGCAAATATATAGCCTCTCTCTACATGCTTCTGACAAAGCCCCATGTACTCTGCCGCACAGCTACTGAGAGTTTCTCTGCAGTTCTTTGCTTTTTACTTTAGAACATCTCAAACAATAACTTTTGTTTTTTAACAAATACTCTAAAATTCTCTTTGCATAATTCCAATGCAATCCTGAATAATTCACTGTTATATTCAGCTTTCTTTTTAAACAACCATTTGCACTGTACTACTCTAGCGCCATCTGGAGTATCGACAATCTCCCAAACTTGGTTGTCGTCAAATGACTGCAGCTCTTCCGCCATCGCCTGCAACCACTGTTGCTTCCTAGGACCACTGACAGCTTCAGCATAAGTCATGCTATCTTCTCCTATAGACGTAGTACGAGGTGGGACACTAGGCCGCTATCACACGTGGGCTCCCCATGGCGCTCATCCGGCCGCTCACCATCGCGCGCTTCGTGGACATCGCGGGCGCGCTGCTGGCCGCCGTCACCCGCGACGCCAAGCTCAACAACGACAACTACGTCGCCAAGGTGGGACACTACGTCACTGAGGTGGGACACTACGTCACCGAGGTGGGACACTACGTCACCGAGGTGGGACACTAGGCCGCTATCACACGTGGGCTCCCCATGGCGCTCATCCGGCCGCTCACCATCGCGCGCTTCGTGGACATCGCGGGCGCGCTGCTGGCCGCCGTCACCCGCGACGCCAAGCTCAACAACGACAACTACGTCGCC